AAAAAAAAAAAAAAAAAAAAAAAAAACCAAACCTCAAAAACAAAGATGCTATTTTGATTTATTTACAGTGTTTGAGTATATTGCTTTGTATAGTTTTCGTAGATGTTGTTGTAGGTATTACAATATATGTATATAACCTATCCCAGTCTAATATATAACCTATCCAGTGTTTTACCAAGTTGAGTGAAGTGTAGAAACTTTTTTTCCATGTAGGTCTCTTTGTCCTCCTCACTTTTTAAATATAACTGTCTTAAGTATTTCCTCTACATGATGCTACTTCATTTTGGTGGTACTGGAAGTGTATATGCTTGTCTTTTATCTGTCAACCTTACTAAATTATTAATTCTTGTAATTCTTCCTTGGGTTGTCTTGAATTGCTATATATAGTCATATCTTCCACAAAATGACATTTTTTCCCTCCCTTTCTTATGTCTATACCTTTTATTTTTCTCACTACAAGCAGGAAAAAATTGAGTATGGTTTTCTGTATTTTAATATCAATAATAAATGTGTGTATATTTTTTCACTTTTCTTATATAAAATGAGATATTTACATTTTTTCTCCTTCCCTGCTTCTTAGTTTTTGTGATATAATCCAGATGTGTTATGTCTCCATTTTTAATCTGACCATAATTTTCATTTTTTATATGATTTTCTTTTTTTGGAAACAGGGACCTCTCCCTGTCATCCAGGCTGGAGTGCAGTGGCACAGTCATGGCTCACTGCAGTCTCAACCTCGTGGGCTCAAGTGATCCTCCTACTTCAGCCTCCTAAGTAGCTGGAACTACAGGCATGTGCCACCACACCCAGCTAAATTTTTTTTAAATGGAGACAGCATCTCACTATATTGCCCAGGCTGGTCTCAAACACTGGACTCAAGTGATCCTCCCACCTCGGCCTTCTAAAGTGCTGGGATTATAGGCATGAGCCACCATGTCAGGCCTATTTTTTAATATGATCTATCTTTACCTACTTCTCTCACTTTATGTCCTGCTCTTCCCCTCATTCCATCTACTTTTAGCCTTAGTGGTGCTTTTGCTCTTCCTTCAACAACAAATCCAACATGCTGGATCTCAGGGCTTTGCATTTGTTGTTGCCTCTGCCTTAAATGCTTTTGCCCCTTCCCCCTGGATATTTATGTGGCTTTCTCCCTCACTTTCTAAGAGGTCTTTACTCAGATGTCACTTTCACAGTGAGATCTTCCCTGATCATCCCTCCAAAATTGTAACCTGTCCTGCCACCCATCAAATCCACCATTCTTTTTTCTATTTTTCTTTTAATAACAGCTATGAAAATATAGCATATTATTTTATCTATTAACTGGTCTAGTGTATTTCTTTTTATTAGAATGTAAGTTCCATGAAGGCAAGAATCTTTCTCTGTTTTGTTCACTTCTTTTACTTCCATTGCCCAGAATGGAGACTGGCACATATAGGTACTCAGTAAATAGTTATGGAAATAATTAATCTTTGTGTATTTCGTATTTTGCTTCCTCAGATTAGGACTACTGAGCTCCAAAACTGAATTTTTTTTGAGACAGGGTCTCATTCTGTCAACCAGGCTGGAGTGCAGTGGCACGATCATGGCTCACTGCAGCCTCAACCTCCTGAGCTCAGGTGATTCTCCCACGTCAGCCTCCTAAGGAGCAGGGACTACTGGTGTGCACCACCATACCTGGCTAATTTTTGATTTTTTTTTTTTTTTAATAGAGACAGGGTTTTGGAACCATGTTGGTCAGGTTAGTCTCAAACTCCTGAGCTCAAGCGATCTGCCCTCCTCAGCCTCCCAAAGTGCTAGGATTGCAGGTGTGAGCCATTGTGCCCAGCCAGCAGTGGATGTGTTTTATAGTTCTTTATACCTTTTGTATGTAACTTTTTAAATTCTTATTTATTTGTACCAGGTAATACTTTTCATATGGTTTAAAATTCAAATGGTTTAAAAGGGTTGTGTTCAAAGGTATTCCTTCCACTGTCATGTTCAAACACCCCTTCCTCTGCTCAGAAGCAGCTAGCTTTGTCAGGTTATTTACTCTCCTTTCCGGGATATTCCCATATGATTTTCTAAAAAGTTGATACCAAGTTACACTACAGGACAAAGTATTTTTACAATTATATCTGTCCAGAATAGTTTCTTGTTTTGTTTTGTTTTGTTTTGTTTTGTTTTCTATGTACTGCTCAACCCTCCTTGGATAGCCAGCATCAACCATTGTTTAGAGAATGTTACTATCATACGAGCCATCAAGGGAATGCTATAATGAAATACTGTTTTGCCCTTGCCCTTGAAGTTCAAAATCTAAGTGGGATGAGAAAGTATCCACACTTAATAAGTAACAGAGGCTTTAAAAAGATCAAGATAATAACTATGAAATGTCACAAAACATTGAATAATTCATTGTTGAATGAGATATAGGTAACCATGAAAGTTAGTTTATCAAAGCAGAGAGCGAGTATCATTTATCAGTGAATGTTTCACAGAAAGAGAAGACTATGATAGCTTTGGATAGTCTGAAAAGAATGTAGAAGGAAAGAAGTATATTTTACCTTCTGTGTGTTCACCAAGGTGTGATATTGAGCAATAAGATCCTACAAGAATATATTTTTATGCCATAGGATTTGATAGGTGTATAACAAAGCCTTTGTCTTATAGAACAGAGAGTATATATATTTATAACAGAGTTGGAAGAAATGCTATAAAGAGTTACTAGGTTCAGTGAGGGTTCAGAAAGCAATCATAGGCAGTTGGGAAAACAAAATTTTTTTAGGGAAAGTCATGTTCAAAATGGAGCTTAAAGTGGGGCACAGTGGCCCATGCCTGTAATCCCAGCCCTTTGGGAGGCTGAAGCAGGCAGATGGCTTGATCCCAGGAGTTCAAGGCTAGCCTGGGCAACATGGTGAAACCCCATCCACAAAAAAAAAAAAAATGCAAAAATTAGCTGGGTGTGGTGGTGCACACCTGTAGTGCCAGCTCCTTGGGAGGCTGAAGTGGAAGAATCATCTGAGCCCAGGAGGTGAAGGCTGTAGTGAGCCATGATTGTGCTGTTGCTCTCCAACCTGGGTGACACCATGAAATGCTGTCTTAATTTAAAAAAAAAGATGGAGCTTGATAGAAGAGTCGGGATTTTTAATGGGCACAGATGGAAGGATAACATGGTGGAAGGGAACTACTGCCAACCAACTGTTTTGGTGAATAAAGTTTTAGTGACACACAGCCATGCCCATTCATTTATGTATTATCTGTGCCTGCTTTCATGCTACAGTGTCAGAGTTGAAAATTTGAGACAGACTATATGGCCTGCAAAGCCTAAAATACTATCTGGCCCTTTACAGGAAGTTTGCTAAGCCCTGCAGGTAGATAGGATGTAAGTAGGAAAGCATTACTAATAAATATTGAAGAAAGGAAAATGAGATGTTTAGTAGAGTTGGGGGAGGTTCAGTAATAGAAGGGTGGTTGGTTGAAGAGGAGGTTAGTTTTGAAGAAATACGATAGGGAGACCATTATAATAGAGAGGAAGTGAGGGGCCATGCCAGGCTGGACAGTAGTAGTTCAGTAAGGCACAGAGGTGGCTTACTCTTAATCATGCTTTTCTAATCTTTTCCCTGCTAGCCAAGAAGGATCAAGAGGGTGGAGAAGAAAAGAAGTCTGTGCAAAAGAAAAAAGTAAAAGAGTTAAAGGTGTTGGATTCAAAGACAGCCCAGAATCTCTGTGAGTATCTCTTGATCCCAACTATTTGAAATGTGAAAGAGTTCTTTTAAGAACTTTTAGTTCCCTTGAATTTGTGGTCCCTTGATAGGGAACTTTAATTTGTTGAATTCCTGCTATATGCCAAGCATTGCACAGTGAATATTCAGAATCTTCTTTAATTTCTTCAGTAGCACTGCAAGATTTTTAAGTATCCAGTTTTATGTCAAGGAAACAAGCTAAGATTTTTAGGAATTTGCCTAGTCATAAAGCTAGTAAGAGAAGGTCTGGGATTTGAGCCTTTTTTTTTTTTTCCACTCGTTGCTGCCCATGCTGGAATGCAGTAGTGCAATCACAGCTCATTGCCACCTTGGCTTCCAGCGCTCAGCTGATTCTTCCACCCCAACCTCCTAAGTAGCTGGGACTACAGGTATGCACCACCGCACCCAGCTAATTTTTTGTAGAGATGGGATTTTGCCATGTTACTCAAGCTGTTCTCAAACTCCTGGGGTCAGGTAATTCGCCTAGCCTTTCTTATTTCAAAGTCCTTACTATGTCCATTGCATTCACAGGAAGCCTACCACAGATGGTCTAGCCACTATACATTTTCTCTTTCCCACTTTTGCTTTTTTATGAAATAAATCGAGAAGGTGTCTTGCTATGTTGCCCAGGCTGGTCTTGAATTCCTGGCCTCAAGTGCTCTCACCTCAGCCTCCTAATATGTTGGGATTACAGATATAAGCCACCATGCCCAGCTTTCACTTTCTGATGAGTAAAGGTACTAGCTTGGCTTCAATTAAATCTAAAATTACTTTGTAATTTAAAATAACTAAGGTAAATCTTGTACTTCTCAGAGTAGGATCTGTAACTCCAGAAAGGAGTTCTGTTCTGAACTTTCCACCTGCATTCATAACTGTTTGGTAGCAAAATTTCAAGTAAGAAATTCCTCTGCAAAGTTGATACAGGCAGTACTTATTTGATGATCAGGACAAATGTTAAATTTTTGTTAATTTCACTTATTCATCTACCTACTTCATACTGAGTAATATAGCCTTAAATATTTATTTGACAACTATTTCAGGATCTGCTATGTTATAGGCTCTATTAGGCACATACTAGGAATGTGTTCCAGAGATGAAAGGGCATGTTCCATAAAACCCACTCAGCATTCTTGTAATGCAGTTATTTTCCGTTTTTCCAAATGAGAAAGCCAAAGTTGAAATGATGCGAAGTGCCCAGATCACACAGCCAATAAGTACACATACCCATAAGTAAAGTCAGTGATATAATGCGAGCAGTAAGCTGTCACATCACTCTTGACTACATAATCTTAAATTATTGGCAACAACTATTACTAAATAGTGTCAGTGGTGAAGTCCTTTTATGGAGACTAAAGTAGTGTGAGTCAGTTCCTCTTCCCAAGTGTATCTCTAGGAGCATAAGTTATGAATAATTGTAGTTTTGAAAAATGATACAAGAAAGACTATGGTGTAGTACATTATGATTTCTAGTGGAATGATATTGATATGGAAAACAGAATTCAAGAAAAGAAAACTGAAAGTAGTGTGTGGTAGGATGGTCTGGAAGTAGAATTTAGTGATTCAATGATGATTAAATGACTCTCATGTGCTAATGATACAAAGCTGAATAAGACATCGTCCCTATCTGCATGAACCGTGTGCCTGGTAAAGACAGGCAGATGATAACAGCACAGATGGATAAATGCTATGATGGAGGTTTGCTACAATGTTTATGAGAGTACTGGGAAAGGAGGCATCTAAATCAAGTGGGGGCAGTGTTGGAAGGGCAAATCCCAGAAGATATTCTAAAGAAGGTACTACTAAAAGGGAGTTGAAAGAACAATTAAGGATTTAAGGAGGCTGGGCGTGGTGGCTCATTCGTGTAATCCCAGCACTTTGGGAAGCTGAAGTGGATGATTGACTCCAAGAGTTCAAGAACAGCCTGGGCAGCAAAGCAAGACCCCTTCTCTACAAAACATAAAAAAATATTAGCTGAGCCCAGTGGCATGTGCCAGTAGTCCCAGCTACTCACAAGCTGAGGCAGAAGGATCACTTGAGCCCAGGAATTTGAGGTTGCAGTAAGCTGTGATTGTGCCACTGCACTGCAGCCTGGGCAACAGAGTAAGACCCTGTCTCAGAAAAAAGAAGTAAGTGAAGGCGGGAGGGTTGGCTTGTTTCAGGAGAGGGATCAGCATGTATGAGAGCATGAGATAACATTGTGCACTTCAGGAACTGCAAGTTGTTGAATACAACTGAGTATACCTATGGAACTTATAAAGGGAATTTTAATTGGGAAAGTGAATGAGATTGTCCTGTGTAATTTTTAGGAAGGCTGCTTTGGCAGTGATTTTGAGGCTGGATTGCTAAGGTCAGGGGATACTATAGGCAGAGGTGAGTTATGTCAGAGGTGAGACATGATCAGGGACTGAAACTAAGGTGATGAGAATAAGAGAGGCAGAGGATATTAAGAAGGTGGCATTAAGCTAGGTGCAATGGCTCATGCCTGTAATCCCAGCACTTTGGGAGACCGAGGCAGGTGGATCACTTGAGGTCAGGAGTTCAAGACCTGCCTGGTCAACATGGCAAAACCCTGTCTCTACTAAAAATAGAAAAATTAGCTGGACATGGTGGAGCGTGCCTATAATCCCAGCCACTCATGGGGCTGAGGCAGGAGAATCGCTTGAACCTGGTAGGCGGAGGTTGCAGTGAGCCAAGATTGCGCCACTGCACTCCAGCCTGGGCAACAGAGGGAGACTCTGTCTCAAAAAAAAAAAAATTAGCCAGATGTGGTGGCGCATGCCTATAGTCCCAGCCACTTGGGAGGCTGAGGTGGGAGGAGGATTGCTTGAGCCTGGGAGGTCCAGGCTGTAGTGAGCTATGATTGTACTACCGCACTTTAGCCTGGGCAATAGAATGAGAAAAGATAGAATTAATGGAATTTAGTGTTTGACTTGGGATAAAGGAGAAGGTGTTTTGAAGTTTAGGTCACTCTGCAGAAAGTGGTACCATTTACAGTACTGAAATAGGAAAACTCAGCAAGAACAGATTATCTTTTTGGGGAGGTGGATGTGAGTGAGAGGTAGCAGGATCATGTCTTACCTAAAGTATATACTCTTTAAGAGGCTGCCATCTTTTCATTGGCTTTGTGGCAATGGAATAAATCATCGTGTAAGTGACAGATAATAGGCTATTTTGGATTGCTATAAAGTGAAAGAGAAACGGGTAATTTAGAGAGGAACATGGAACATAGAGTAAGATAGGAAAACCTTGTTTATGTATATATGCTGAAGGGAAAGGTGTGTGGGGCTGCCTCTTCTGTTGACACATGAGGAAAGGATGAGTACATGAGGGTATATATACTTATATACAAATCCCTATATGAGTACATGCACCAATTAGCTTACAGCAGTGTTGGCATAGTTTTCTTCCAGGCCATTCCAAAAGGCTTATCCAAGTCTTTTCTAGTCTGACTCTAACCGAGAGCCCTAGTGCTTTATTTTTAAGTAGCATAAGAGAAAGCTAAGCAAGTAATTTGACCAGTGGCTTCAATTTTTCTCAGTGAAGAGGAGCAGGGTCTTCTTGGAACAAATGGGGAGGTGGTGGGGCAGTGGGGAAAATGGGAATATGTTGGAGGACCTGCCAAGATGGGTAGGAGAAAGTACAATAGGGACACATGGAAGAGAATTGCTAACAGCGCTGAGGCCCCAGTTATCATTGGTGCTACTGCAAATTCATAGACTTCAGTCTATATCAACCCAGGTGTCAGAGTAGGGAAATGAAATGGCTCGACTGACCACGGACTGGAAGGTGAAGGAAGCAAAAGAACGGTAATAGTAGTAGCAGTGGTAGTAATACTAATGGGAATCTTAGTAGAGAGCAAATGAAGTGATGGTGTAGAGGGTCCTGATGAAATAGGAAAGGCAGAGTAGAACTGATGTATTCACAGAAAACAGAAAAGTCAGGAGACTGGAAAGAGACGTCCTAATAGGGTTGAAGAGTAAAGCAAGAGTTTAGAAAGGGAGAGCTGAGGGCTGGGCACAGTGGCTCACGCCTGTAATCCCAGCACTTTTGGGAGGCCAAGACAGGTGTATCTCTTGAGGTCAGGAGTTCAAGACCAGCCTGGCCAACAGGGTGAAATCCCATCTCTACTAAAAATACAAAAATTAGCCAGGCATGGTGGCACACACCTGTAATCCCAGCTACTCGGGAGGCTGAGGCAGGAGAATCACTTGAACCTGGGAGGTAGAGGTTGCAGTGAGACGAGATCATGCCACTGCACTCCAACCTGGACAACACGAGACTATCTCAAAAAAAAAAAAAAAAAAAGAGGGCGGGGGAGCTGAAAAAATAGGATGCGTTTGTTAGGGAATAGGATATGGCAGTTTAAGGTCACGGCAGCTTTGAGCATCAAGTCCTGAGACGGGAACTAAAGTAGAGTGGGGTGAAAGTCTTTGATGTATGTAGACTTTTTTGAGGTGGGTCTCACTTGTTGCTCAGGCTGGTGTGCAGTGGTGCAATCACAGCTCACAACCTCGACCTCCTGGGCTCAGGTAACCCTCCCACCTCAGCTTGCCTAACAGCTGGGACTACAGGTGCACACTACCACGCCTGGCTAGTTTTTGTATTTGGAGTTTCACCATGTTGCCTAGGCTAGTCTCAAACTCTAGAGCTCAAGTGCTCCACCCACCATGGCCTCCCAAAGTGCTAGGATTATGGGCATGAGCCACTGTGCCTGGTCTAAAAGAGCCCTGTTAAGAAGATTGCCCAGCATAGGTTTGCAGGATGGGTTGGAAATGGAAACAGACCGAGAAGAACAAGTCTTAATATTTCATTTTCTGGCAGCAATCTTTTTGGGTTCCTTCCGCATGCCCTATCAAGAGATTAAGAATGTCATCCTGGAGGTGAATGAGGCTGTTCTGACTGAGTCTATGATCCAGGTAAGGAGCAAGGTGGTTCTGCTGGAGCGGGTTCTTCTGTGTAGCTGTGCACTGGCCTCATCTCTGTGGAGATGAAGAGGATCCTCCTCTAGCATTGCTGACTTATGAATGCTGTCTTTTAGAAACTGCCTTTTCTCTGGTGGTCAGGTTATTTCTGGTATATTTTCAAAAGTCCTACCATTTCAGTGCTGCCTCTCCTCTCCCACCATGTTTCCTTCGTAATGGTCCCTGGGCAGTGTGTGGGACTGATAACAGAGTAAAAATTTTGTTTAGCGTTGAGTTGTCTGCAAATCCTCCTCCAACTGAGGTGTCTCTTCTCTCTTTCAGAACCTCATTAAGCAAATGCCAGAGCCAGAGCAATTAAAAATGCTTTCTGAACTGAAGGATGAATATGATGACCTGGCTGAGTCAGAGCAGTTTGGCGTGGTGGTGAGTGAGGCCCTTCTCTGCCTCCCGTATTTCCCTCCCCTCTAGAGAGCAGCCTGGGTATTTGCTCCTTGCCTCTTGCCTGTTTTTGAACCTGTCTTAGCCTCTCTCTTCTCCCTGCTCTGGAGCTCTGATCCTCCCATAGGAGGCTTAAGCCTGTATCGTTTTCTTACTTCTCTCTCTTTTGACTGTAATGGAACTGCTTGTGTTCTCTACTAGATGGGCACGGTGCCCCGACTGCGGCCTCGCCTCAATGCCATTCTCTTCAAGCTACAATTCAGCGAGCAAGTGGAGAATATCAAGCCAGAGATTGTGTCTGTCACTGCTGCATGTGAGGAGTTACGCAAGAGTGAGAGCTTTTCCAGTCTCCTAGAGATTACCTTGCTTGTTGGAAACTACATGAATGCTGGCTCCAGAAATGCTGGTGCTTTTGGCTTCAATATCAGCTTCCTCTGTAAGGTGAGCTAGAGTAGGACAACACAAAGAAGGCTATAGCCTCTAGGAGTTCAGTGTTGGCCAGAGGCCATCTTAGGCATGTCAGGATTTAACAGTTTCTCCTCTTGTTGTAAGCTTCGAGACACCAAGTCCACAGATCAGAAGATGACGTTGTTACACTTCTTGGCTGAGTTGTGCGAGAATGACTATCCTGATGTCCTCAAGTTTCCAGACGAGCTTGCCCATGTGGAGAAAGCCAGCCGAGGTGGGGCAGTTGGGGATGAAGTTAGAAGGTGGTTCTGAGCCCAAAAATCTCTGCATGGGGAGGGAAATAAGACACAGTCTAGATTTTAAAGCATCTTCAGTTCAGACTATTTCAAGTGGATATGGGATAGGATTTAGGCATGGTGCCTAAGCCACAAGGGAGGAGCATAGGGCTGAGGAGACATCTTTAGGTGTAGAAATGGGAAGCACTCTTTCTCTTCCTAGGAGAACACCAAACACCAAATCACAGCTAGAAGGGCAGGTGTTTTTAGTCTAGGTTAACAGTTCTCCTCATTAAGAAAACAGACTAGATTAACAAAAATTAGGCCTCACTGTCCTAGAACTAGACAAAGAAAAAGCAGCATTCATTGGAAATCAGAACAGATTTCTGCCCCGCCTCTATATTTCTATGTATATCTCCTTCCTCCCAAACCCTGTTCTCTAAAATAAATGAGACCAAGATCTCAGGGGATTTCATAGATTTGTGTTAAATTAAATGAAGCCTCTCTTCTGTTCCTAGTACTGTATACCTTGTGAAGGCTGGAGGTTCAATGATCAGATAATTTATAGTCTCACTAGAAAGGTGAAAACTTATGTGATACAACTAAAGTACATAAGGGAATTAAAATTCAGTTCCTAAATGTGTGTATAGACTGCAGCTGTGCTCCAAAGGGTGAAACTAAGGGGTATCGAGGCCAGAGTTATTAGTAAGCTCTGGCTCTCTGTTTTTGTGGTGTTTTTTTTTTTTTTTAGTTTCTGCTGAAAACTTGCAAAAGAACCTAGATCAGATGAAGAAACAAATTTCTGATGTCGAACGTGATGTTCAGAATTTCCCAGCTGCCACAGATGAAAAAGACAAGTTTGTTGAAAAAATGACCATATCCTCACTTGAAAGGAGGGAGTTATTCCCTAGGAAAGGAAAGAAAACTTCCTGTAGTGGGGGGAAAACAGGATAGATAGGGCAATATACAACTTTTTCTCTCTCCAAAAACGCTTTTTCATTAAATACATAGTTTTTTGGATTTGTAAGTATTTTGAAACAAGCTTTCACTGTGTCATCCAGGCTAGAGTACAGTGGTGCTGTCATGGCTCACTGCATCCTTGACCTCCTGGGCTCAAACGATCCTTCACCCACCAGCCTCCGTGGCAGCTGGGACTACAGGCATGTGCCACCAGGCCCAGCTCAACATTTTTTTACATTTTTTTCTTTAGAGATGGGGTCTCACTTTTGTTGTCCAGGCTGTATAGTTCTTAGAGCATTCCATTATTGTGGAGTGGAAGCAAACCATGCAGATCAACTGAAAGTCCCCCCAATTCCCCTGCATATACCCCATCTCCACTACACACACGCATGCCTCCATCTCCTTCCCTCCCCAAAGGTAACCGCCGCCACTGGACTTCATTCTGATTTGCACCTCATACATTTATTTTCAACAAAAACTGCATTGTATTGCTTTTTGCACATAATACATCTTGGCCATGTTTCCGTAGTAGTATTATTTATAAACCCCTTTTAAACTGCAGCCTTCTGTTTTATAGGTGTATAAAATAGTTCATGGTTTACTATCCCCTATTTAGGGGCTTTGATTTTTGCTATTATGAACAGTGCTGTATTGAACATCCCCATGCATGCCAGTACTCATCTTTGAGTAATTCCTTGGGCTAGGGAAGTGGGTCTGCTTCTTGGTCTTGGTCCTTTACTCCTTGGCCGTACAGCTTTGTGAAGGATGCCCAGGAACAGTATAACAAGCTGCGGATGATGCATTCTAACATGGAGACCCTCTATAAGGAGCTGGGCGAGTACTTCCTCTTTGACCCCAAGAAGTTGTCTATTGAAGAATTTTTCATGGATCTTCACAATTTTCGGAATATGTTTTTGGTGAGCAAGAGACACTTGCTGACTGAATCTTTTGTGGGCATTTCTCACTGTCCACTGGGTTCCTGTTGGCTGGTGGTAGGTGTACAATGCCCATGTGTTCCTTCCTCCCCTTCCCTGCCCCAGCAAGCAGTCAAGGAGAACCAGAAGCGGCGGGAGACAGAAGAAAAGATGAAGCGAGCAAAACTAGCCAAGGAGAAGGCAGAGAAGGAGCGGCTAGAGAAGCAGCAGAAGAGAGAGCAGCTTATAGACATGAATGCAGGTGAGGAGTGAAGAAGGGTTGATGGGTTGAGATAGGAACGTTTGGAAGACTTCTCTGCCTAGAGTCTAGAGGCCAGAGAGAATAGCTCATGTCCGAACTCACCTCCTGGCAAATGATTTTTGGCCATCTTCTACCTCCAAGATCCTGATGCTGGACTTTAACCCAATTCAGATACATACACATTCCAACTTGCCCTGTTAAAATCATTCTCTCTCCTTTGCTGCTCTTGCATTCTCTCTCATCTCTCCTGTGATTTTAGTATTGCTGTGATACATACTCTTTTCCTTCTGCCTGTCCCAAGTTCGCTCTGACCTGTTTTCATTCCCTCCACTAAAGCTTTTGGGTTTTTTTCTCTAAAATATTTTCCTGACACGCCTCCTATCTTTTAATTATGGCGTGTCTTCCCTTTCTGCTTATGGCACAAAGTACTGTGTCCCTAGTACCTTAGCCCAGTTGTATACACAATTAGATTGTAAATGGATTGAACTTTTGGAGGGGGATGGGGAGCCGGCCACCCTCTTCTCTTTCTTCAGCAGAGTCTCTATTTCACTACTAGAGCATGTCTTTGTTGAAACATATGGTTTCAATTACTGGCCCTCTATTTCCTGTCTCTGCTTCTTTCCTGCTGCTGATTCCCTACCCCTTCGCCCCCACTGCTCTCTCTGTGGGCAGCGGAAATACAGCATATGCTGCTCACACAGCACTGAGCTGATGCCACCCTCCTCCGAACCTGAGGGGCCACGAGTCTTCTGCAAATGGTGTTCACAGAGCTGCTGAGTTTGTTAGGAATCAGTATTTTACAAAGCAGAGGCACAAGGGCTGCTCTGCTTGACCAGGGATTTTTCTTTATACTTTTCTGGAAAGCAATTTCCTTGCCATTACCTCAGTTGTAAGCCACAACTTTGTAATGCTATTAAAGCCCACACCAAGTATTCTTCACCTTCCCCTGGGACTCCAGCATTTGTACCCGGGTACTGGCTAGGATGTAATGGGGGAAGGTGGAGTCCTGCTGACATGTGCAATGAAGGCTGCACCCGGCCAACAGGTGGCGTAATGGACCGTGCCGAGTTTCCAGGACCCAGGTCAAGAAAATGAGGGTAGAATGTAGGTCAGATGCACTGGTGATGCTCAGCCAGCAGGTGGCGCTGGGAGCAGTGAGCCCCAGCCTTGGAGCTGGCAGCCTATGGGCTTTTTGGGATTTCACAGTTTCAGATTTCACTATCCTAAGCTGTTGCCATGGAAACTGAGCCAGGCCAGAAGAAGGATTCTACATTAACTCTTTGTATTCCAGCCAGGCTGCTCCTCTTAGATGCAGAGGACTTAGACATTCAGGAAGACATAGCCACTGGAGGCAGCGCTTCAGGAAAGTGCCCTCTTGATCAGTGGTCTTTCCTCAGCCCTGCTTTGAAGTCTAACCAGTCTTCATAACTGGTCTTGGAGCTGGGCAGTTCTGTAATTCTGTTGCTAGATACTTTTCTGCAATTAGGGATGGGGTGGGGAGGATGGCATTGCAGAAAAATATTCCAAGGTTTGCATTGGATAATAGGCAATAAGATCTTTTGTTTTAGCCATTTGTAAGCAGATACAAGGAAACATGGGCTTGTGAGACTTAAGGTTGAGTTTTCTTTGTCTCTTCTTAGCTGCCAGCTGCTATGCGAGAGGGGAAACCAAGCAATAGCAATGCATTTAGTGTGGGGCTTGATGTTTGCCATGCTGCTCTGGCCTAAGAGTTCACATTTCCATCTTGTTCTTTATAACAGAGGGTGATGAGACAGGTGTAATGGACAGTCTTCTAGAAGCCCTGCAGTCAGGGGCAGCATTCCGACGGAAGAGAGGACCCCGTCAAGGTAAGTAAGCACATGGAGCTCATCCTGGGTATCAAAGAGGGTGAGGCCTCTTTACTCCTACCAGAAGTTTAGGAGTTTCTAAACTGCTCCACAGAAAGACGATTAGAGCATCACTATTAGTCCCTGCATCCAGAGCGAATTATCTAGTCCTCTTCCTTCCATGTTTAGAGTAGTGAGTTAGAAAACTGGGGTTCGAGGGACTGGCAATAAATCAGTTACATTGGATTATGGCGTATTTCTCCCTATTCTTGAAGCAAATATTTGGAACAAGGGAACTGTGCTGCAGGACACAGGGATTTGAGTGGGCATTCGTGTATGAGCAAAAGTTGATCTAAATACAAAATGTATGTTAGGTATAGATTGAAATTCAAAGACAAAATAAGTCAGAGTCCTTACTCTGCGCTTCACAAGCAGAAGACATACATAGAGAGAACTAATAATAGAAAGTATAAAATTTTGTAGGGAGGTTAGGCATCATTGTTCCCAGGTAGAAAAATATAGAGGAGCATCTCGTTGAAGGATTATGCTGTGTCTGAAAACCCCCTTTTTTCTGGAGTGCAGTTCCTCTGTTGCCTTTGCCTTCCCCTCATCACTCACCTGCAACCTCCTTTCACATGCTTTGGAAGATCTAAGTGGATTACACTGAGCTAGAGATTCTAAAAAGAATTACGGAGCTAGGACAGATGATCCAGGCATTAGTATGGGGAAAGATTAATGAATGAGTTTTCCTGTGGGCAGCTTATAGTGGCCAAGAGACTAGTTCAAAAGAAGGTATAGCCAAGGCTGCCCCTCATGTGGAGTTGGCCTGCATCATTATGTCTAGCGAAGGTCTTTTGGGGCTAGGAGTGGTGGCTTCTTTCCTAATTTGAAGAGTGGGAATTACAAAAAAGGTGGCATTAAAGGTTTCTACTTCAGAGGAACTTAAATCTATGTTCCCTGTTTCCTGGCTGTTGCACTATATAGGCCCGTTTGATAGTGAGTTTTACTTTGAGATTATTGTAAAGAGAGGGAGATATACAGCTTGCTTTGGCCAGTGCTTAGCTATTAATTCAGTGGTATCTGTAGGGCCTGTAGTACGTGCCACAGCCTGGAAATGGGGACCTTAGAGCATGCCAGCCTATATAAAGTCAGTATCCTGGCCCAACTGTTTGGATCACTGTGAGTTTCATTTGTAATGGCTGACTGCCCATTTCTACCTATACTCTGAATAACCAGAGTGATGCTCCCTTCTGAGGGTTCTCCTGTAGGACTTCAGAACCTTCCCCAAACTGAAAGCTCCCAAGTCAAAATTCTTATCCATTTTCTGGCATTCTCTGAGTACAGGCTTTATAAAGGGGAGGAGAAGTAGATATAAGAGCTGAGGACTCTCTGAACTAGAGCATTTAGTCTTATAGATAGGTGTTTGCAAGGAGAGTACGGCTAGTCATATTATTCCTCCTGTATTTAGTCTTTATAGTTTTTACAGCATTGTTTCCTACCAGCCATATAAGGTGATGTGGCCTTAACATTAAGCATTTCTAGCCTTACAAAAGTACATTGCATCTCATTGTTTTTCTTGACCCCATCAACTAAGTGCTTTTATCAGATTTTTGGTGGGAAATTCCCTTTTAAGCCTCTTCCTGTGGAACTAGAATCTCAGATGCTTCCTGTATACAGATAGCCAGACATCAGTGGCTTCCCTCTGCTGGGGAAGCCCCGTTCTTTACTTCTTTCCATGTGGAAAATCAGAACTCACAGGTGGAGGAGGGAAGGATTTTGTTGGAACCTAACCTTCCAGCAGAGGGCCTGAATTAGTCAAAGTACTCTTTCCCATGCAAGAGGGAATAGGAGGAGACTTATACTGGGAGATGTTAAACTGGAAAGTAGATGAAATGACAATTACATATCTTTTAAGTGGCTCCAGCCTATAAGCTTAACTTTCTAGGCTCTGGATTCACTAAATACATTTGAATATATCTGGGAGAATCTCAGGGGAGACATTCATAGTTTTTCAGTAACTCTTTAGACCTTGGTGCATTCACATCATGTAAAGTGATGTGATGTGGCCTCATACTAACATAAACAGGAGGATAGCCATCAGAGTAGATTACAAAGAACATAGGACTAGGTAGGGATCAAAAGACCCAAAGTCACATCTAGTTCTGATGCTGTCTGTGTTAGGCTAAGTAAGTCACTTAATGTTTCTTGGACTCAGTTCCTCAGGTATAAAATGAGTGCCGGACTAGAATGAATGGTCTCCAGGGTCCCTTCCAGCTCTAACACTTTTTTATGCAGTGCCAATACGATTAAGAGAAGAGGAGAGAGAGGCTGGACTTAGATGGCCCCATTCTCTAACTACAAAGGCCCCAGTGGCTCTAGGTTTCTCTCTGTGGCCACTGGATTTGGCTGTTCCACCCCTGGCCTGGCTGTCTGACTATTCCTCCTGACTGATTGCTTTGAGCCAAAAAAACAGAGGCACTGTCAAGCATATCTGCCTCACAGCCCTCATTATTTCCAGAGAGGCAGCTGTCCCTATTCAAAGACACTAGCTTTTTACCTAGAATGTAAAGGAATGTTGAAATCTTCCGGTCTCTGGAGACCTCGGGGAGTGACCAGTATACAAAGACTCATTGAGGAGTTGGAAGAGGGGAGTTACTATCAGGGTCAATTCATTAAAAGCAACATGTAAACTGCTGTGATCTGCAGGGTGTGGGAGAACAATGGTTTGAGTGTCAAGGGGAAGAATCCATGTGATTGTATTACGGCTACTATTTCAGGCCCATCATTGAGTCAGCTTGTGGCTTTAATGACTCAACTTTATCTCCATGTCTGAATTGTGGCCTCTTGTATACAAGCCATTTGCTCACTGGGATAAAAGCCAAGGGAAGAAAGAAATTCATCTCTTTCTTCCTTTCCTTCCCTCTACCATTTCCCAGCTTCCCTCTAAGCTCTATCCATCTAATAGAACCACAGAGTTGAAAAGACTCTAAAGACTTCTAGTGATTAGTATCTAACCTGCTCATAGGGGAAAGGAATTAAAACCAGATAAGGTCTTGCCCAGGTCTACATGGCTGTCTAATGACAGAGCACTGTAGCCCACTTTTGTGACTCCCAGTCCAGGGCTATTTCCACTCAGCCTGCATGACTGGAGAGGAGATGGCAGTGACCCCTCAGTATGGGCCAGAAATATTCTTTCATACCTTCCAGCAAGGAGCATCTTGGACATGATGACATTGCTTCAGGGAGGTTCTCTGATGACCACCCGTGTTAGCCTATTTTGTGTTATTATAAAGAAATACCTCAGACTGGGTAATTTATAAAGAAAAGGGGCTTATTTGGCTGACGATTCTGCAGACTGTACAGAAAGCATGGCACCAGCATCTGATGGTGAGACCTCAAGAAGCTTCCAATCGTGGATCCACCCACATGGGGAGCAGGTGTATCGCAAGGTGGGAGAGGAAGAAAGAGAGATGCCAGGCTCTTTTAAACAACCAGTGCTCATATGAGCTCATTACTGTGGGGGCACCAAGCCACTCATGAGGGATGCATCCCATGACCTAAGCGCCTCCCACTTGGCCCCACCTCCAACATTGTAGGTCACATTTCAACATGAGGTCTGGAAGGGTCATACATCCAAACCATATCACCTCCTATCTAGAGAAGGTTACTAAGAATATTTCCTGTACCACTACTTATTCTACCCCCACTTATGTAAAAATAGGACAGGACGCATAATTAGGAGAGTTTGAGACAATAATGAGTGATTTAATGTGGCAATGATTGCCCCATCTGTCCTAGTTTCCTCTTCCCTAAGGAAGCTTATTAACGAGAACACTTCCTCTTTAGTAATAGTTCCTAGCCTATGTTTTATAAAGGTCTTTTTTCAAGTCACTAACCTTTTTAAAATTCAGCTACACTTACGTTATATGGTTGGTTTGCTGGGTTTTTTTAATCATAACCCACCCCTAACTTCTAGGAATCTGGCCTCAGAGAGCTTTCACCAGTATCTCAAGATTGTTCCCTTTTTCCCCACGGCCTGTGGGACTATTCTTTTGGAGTTAATTATCCTCTCTGATCACATCTAGTCAAAATATTTATTTGGTTCTGTGGCTACTTTTCAATAGTTTTTAACAAGTGAGTAAGTTAGGGGGAAGAGGGAGGTCAGTTTTTCTTGATTGTTCAACCTGCTGAGCATAATGGTGACCCAGTAGAAAGCTGGGAGACCTGCTCCGACAGGCGCTTTCTCACCTCCTGACCAGTCCGCATCACACCCTCCCTGGCGTACAGGCTTTCAAGGCTTAAAAGAGAAATTTTGATCTTCTCCCTACCTACTCTCTGCTCCTAGTTCTATGAAGTTTGTAATACATCAGAGGTTTTTTGAGCCCAGAAAAGTCTAGAAACACCACTTGGTAAAGCCGAGTGTGGTGGCTCACGGCTACACAGAGTCCCATCACTTTAGGAGGCTGAGGCGAGCAGATCACAAGGTCAAGAGTTTGAGACTAGCCTGGCCAACATGGTGAAACCCCATCCCTACTAAAAATGCAAAACTTAGCCGGGCATGGTGCCTGTAATCCCAGCTACTCAGGAGGCTGAGGCAGGAGAATCACTTGAACCCGGGAGTTGGAAGTTGCAGTGAGCTGACTTCACGCCACTGCTCTCCAGCCTGGTGATAGAGCGAGACTGAGCCTCAAAAAACAAAAAGAAAAAAAGAAACACCACTTGATTAGGTACAACTGGTATCTTCTTATTTTGGGGGAAGAAACCACAGAAAGAAGCAGCTTAAGACTTGCCACAGGGGAACTCCGCCTTCTCCTGTGTTGCTCAGGACAAGTGGCCCAGTGTTCCTTTTCCCAAGGTCTGGAGTCAGGAGTTATTTCAACATATGTGCACCACTAAAGTCACACACACACAGAGTTGCGGCGTCTTCTCAACTGCTGGAGACTGAATTCAAAGGAATAATAAAATGATACGAAACTACTACCCTTCTGGGCATGAGAAGTAGGGTCTAGAGTGGGAGTACTTCAGAAGAGAGTGGGAGCGTTTGCAAGAGGCCTAAGGAAGATTCTGGTGGTAAGGACAGTATGAAGAATGTATATATTTAGACCATCATAGTGACACTTGCGTGGTCTTCTTTTCCTCTCTTGTCAGTCACGGAGGCAACAGTTTATCTTAATAATCCAATAAGTGGTTTTGTAAAATTCCCACAGTCTTGGTCACATACCTCTGATCTATAATTAGATAAGCCCTCTGGCTGTCAGTCAGGGTCTTCACTATTCTTTCTCCTCTTGGTAGACAACCTCTTGTGCCCCTGGGAAATAGAGGAGGAGGAGGAGGAGGATACCTTTAAATTGGTAACCTGTGTGCACGCTGTGTGTTCCCTGCTTGAGCTATGGGCACCCTCTCCTGGGATGAAAACAGTAGCTCTGGGTCATGACTCCACAGGGAGGGAAGGCCTGGTTAAGACTTGGGCTTTGGTGGGGTGTGGTAGCTCATGCATGTAATCCCAGAACTTTAGGAGGCCAAGGTGGGAGGATTGCTTGAGCCCAGGAGTTCAAAACCAGCCTGAGCAACATGGAGAGACCCCATCTCTGCAAAAAATACAAAAACAGCTAGATGTGGTGGTGCATGCTTGTAGTCCCAGCTACTCGAGAGGCTGAGGCTGGGTGGATTACTTGAGCCCAGGAGGTTGAGGCTACAGTGAGCTGTGATTGCGCTGCTGCACTCCAGCCTGGGCGACAGAGTGAGATTCCATCTCAAAAAAAAAAAAAAGAAGAAAAGAAAAAAGCCAGGCGCAGTGGCTTACACCTGTAAGCCCAGCACTTTGGAAGGCTGAGGCAGGTTGATCACCTGAGGTCAGGAGTTCCAGACCAGTCTGGCCAACAGAGTGAAACCTGTCTTTACTAAAAACACAAAAAAATTTGCTGGGCATGGTGGCATGTGCCTGTAATCCCAGATACTTGGGAGGCTGAGGCAGGAGAATCGCTTGAGCCTGGGAGGTGGAGGTTACAGTGAGCAGAGATCGTACCATTGCACTCCAGTCTGGGCAACAGAGCAAGATTCTGTCTTTAAAAAAAAAAAAAAAAAAAAGCAGGTTGGGTAGGGGGCTATCTGATCCCGTTTGGCTTCTGCCTACCTAAGGCTTTCCGCGGGTCCAAAGAAGGCACTTTGTTCCAGTTCTACAGCTGCCCCAGTCTTGGTCTTCATTTGGGAGTGCTCAGCTCTTTTATCTGGTCCTGCTTCTTTAAGGTTCTGGTACAGCTTTCTCCACTTCAGCTTTCCCAGATCTCCAGGAAATCTTTGTTTTTTTTGTTTTTTTTTTTAATTGAGATACCATTTACATGCCTAAAGTTCACCATAAAATGTACAATTCAGGGGTTTTTACATTATCCACAAGATCATATAACCATTGCTACTATCTAATTCCAGAACATTTTCAACATCCCCCAAAGAAAAACTCCATAACAGCCATTAGCAGTCACTTCTGATTCTCTCCTCCCCTTGCCTCTGGCAACCAGCAATCTGTTTTCTATCTCTGGATTTGCCTGTGCTGGACATTTCATAGAAGCTGACCCATAACATATGGCCTTTCGTGTCTGGCTTCTTTCATCCCAGACAGCTCTTTATGTATACACAGTCGCTCCTGTGCTGTTCTGGGACATGGGAGGAGGAGACATCATGAGGTGGCATGGTCCCAAGGAGCTGCCTTCCTGCTGCAGATACTGGGGCCACAGCCTGGATGCCATAAATGAATATGAGAGTCTTGGGGATGAGACCGAGCAGTCAGAGCAGAGACTCACGGATTGATTTGCTGCTGCTTTTCCAATCTGTGATGACAGCCAGAACTTGACCATCCCTTAGCCACATGGGCTGAGATTTCTTTGTAGGGGTCCTCTCCTGGCCATACTTGATTCCAGTTCTCCTTCCCTGGCATAGCTTTTATTACTACCTCCCCACCCCACCCCCTACATATTCTGCACACCTTGTAGGGCCCTTGGCGTTTGTATCACAGCTGCTACCTTTGAAGAAGTGGGAAAGAGCTAAGGTGTGTGGGCATCTGTTGTCAGAGGAACACGTGGGAGTGCGATGCCAGTACGTGGCTGCTGTTCCTCTTTGCAGGAGTCCCTCCAGCCACCTACTGAAGGCCGCCTTTTGCTAGGGACAACCCCTCCCCGGGCTGACTGAAAAGCGTTTTGGTCTAGAAGTTTCCTGGGACCTATCAAGAAAGCAAAAATAATATTGTGTACTAAGCTTGAGCCTATTTAATTCCAACATCCCTATGAGGAGAAAAGACTTGGAGTACTTCCTCTCTCCCTAAGTCACATGGCTAACACTTCAACCCAGTTCTGTCTGTCTAGCTCTGTTCAAATTTTTTGCTGTTAGTACACAGAGAAGCAAGGGGGAGAGGCTTGCTCTCCTGTTGCACCACACTCTCTTATATTCTTTGCCACCCAAAAGTATATTCCACATGCTGGATCTTTGCCCCTCTTTCTTCAAAGTAAAGGCCTCTGTGAACTGGGCAACGTAGCCCATCTGCATGGCTTACAGCTGATTATTGCTGTAGAGTTTGAAAGAAATTAGAAACGAGGCCTTCCATGGACAGAGTCTCTTGTGTCTTCTCTTGCAGCCAACAGGAAGGCCGGGTGTGCAGTCACATCTCTGCTAGCTTCGGAGCTGATCAAGGACGATGCCATGACCTCTGTTCCAGCCAAGGTGCACAAGAAGAGTGAGGCAGTCCCTACAATCCTTGAGGAAGCCATGGAGTTGGTTGGCCGTGCAAGCTAATACGAGTCCTGTGACCGTGGCAGCTCCTCAGTGGAGCCCCAGACTGTCCTGTCCTGCAGCATGTGCCTAAAGGCTCAAGGGGATATTCCTCTGGGGCGGCCACTTCCACCACCCTGACCCTGTCTTTCTCTCTGGCCTGCTGCTCTCTGAACATCACATACAGCTTCAGCTTGCCTGGAGGCCAGAAGGAAAGGGCAGTGTGGGGGAGGCCTGAGACCAACCCAGCTAGCCCTAGCTGTTGTATTACCAAAGCAGGGTCCGTGTTTGCTGCCTTAACCCTGTCTCCTGTCTAATACTCAGAGGGCCTCATCTCAGAAAAGGCCCAGCCTGCTTTTTTTCAGCCCTGACTTTCTAATGGGCTTTCTCCCTAGGTCAATCTTGCTGGGTTTGTGCTTTTCTTTTGTGGTTTCTCTGGCCCTGAGAACAGCATGGGGCTTGTAAACCTTTGGGCTAGATCCTGCCTTTCACTGCTGTCGTCTCTGCTCTTCCCTCTCCTGGCTGTGGTTATTTATTATTAGTGGTGTGGCGCTGGGAGATGCTCCTAAGGAAGCAGGGAGCAAATCCCACCTTTACCCCACCTTCCTGGGAAAGGCCTTCAAAACAAAGGATCAGGACCACTTTCCCTGTTGTTCTGTGGCCCAGGCTAGAGTCTGTGGGCGGGCAGGCAGGCAGGCAGGCAGGGCATAGCGACAGTGTGGGACCTGCCCCAAGCATCTGTCACACTTTATGCCCTTGCCTCTCTGGACCCTCCGCACCAACCCCAGGCTACTGAGCCACGCTCCCTCCTCATGCCTCCCCTGGAGCTTTGGTGCATCTCATCTGGACTATGGGTTGTGTTGTGACCATCCCAACCCCTCACCCTCTGTCTACAAGGAAATGGGAGGTGGAGCCTCCTGGCTGAGAAATTGTTTTGCAAATGGATCTATTTTTGTATGAAAAAAATTTTTTTAAAGAAAACTCTTCCTTCCCCCTTTCCCTTCCATAATGTAAGAAGCTTTGATGGCAGGTTCCAGAGTTCCTGGGATTTCTCCTCACGGCCCAATCCTGAATGTGCCCCTGGACCTTCTGGACCCTTGAGGCCAAGGCAGATCCTCTCTCCCAGAGAATCTGGGGCAGAAGGAGCTTCCCCTTCTCTGGTTGAGCTGAATCAGGCCTAAGAGTAGTGGGAGCTCTAAGACCAGAGTTTTTATCAATGTATAAATGTATCAAACCAAATGTGCAGATGCTAACTGAACGTTCTGGGGAAGTGGGCACAAGGAATGCCTTTATACACTGCACCCCATCTCTCCTAAAAGATAAGTGGGCACACTGAACTGTTTGGTGGCTCCAGCCACAGGAAGCTCCAGTTCTCTGGCGGAGGGTGACAGTTTTGCCCTCCTTGTGCCCCTCTCAGCTTTCCATCCCCAGCTAGGAAGAAAGAATGGCACTCTTGGGCTTGGCCTAGAATTAGAATTGTTAGAGCCAGAGGAAGCTTAGGAAACATGAGGGTAGCTACAGTGAGGCCTTAACTGGCAGGGGCGCTTGCGTATAAAGGGGCAGCGGCAGCTCCTTTGGGCTATTCCTGGGAAGACTCTGATGCAGGGCATCTGTTGCTCCCCTAGGTCACCTCCTTCTCCCTGCTCGCTGACATCTGGGGCTTTGACCCTTTCTTTTTTAATCTACTTTTGCTAAGATGCATTTAATAAAAAACATAAAAAGTGAAAAAAAGAGGGGTGGGGGACAAATTGCAAATCTATTTCCCTTGCCTCTTAGGGTTCTGGATGTCATCACCTCCAGTTTGTTGGTTTTGTTTCCAACTGTTAATAAAGCATTGAAACAGTACTGCCTTACAGCTTCCTGTGTGAGTTTATGAGCTGTTTTCTTTTCTCTCTAGTCCAGGCTCCTCTAGTCTTTCCTGCCTCAAATCCCTGGTTGACCTGACAAATCACTATGCAAAAGCTAAAGGTGCCAGACACTTTGCGTGTGCACAGGGCTATAGATGATGAATACATGGGGGCTTCCGCCCCACCAGAGCTCACCTCAGGGCTGTTTGCCCACAGTAGAGGAGTAGGAACCTGGTTCAGCTCCCTGACTCTTCCACATTGCTGCTACTTGGCTTGGAGCCCTTTTTTGGAACTCAGTTGTAACCCTTCATGCCCCAGATATCATACAAGGTTTCCTGGCAGTCCCTGTGTCTCTTGCTAAGGGAAGCATCTGACTCCCATTTTCCCGTCCCCTCTGCTCTGTTGGTGGCCACAGACCACATTCCAGACTAGAGGGGCTAACCCTGGGGTGGAAACCTGAGTCTGTCCAGCAGAGGTTGGAAGCCCGAGGTCATGCTCCAGATGACTTGCCACTTGGAATCATACTTGTCCGAGTGCCTTGTGACCTACACATAAAGCCTGACCAGCAATGAGCAGGCCCAGGATAGACAGGGAGGAGCCCGGAGAGGACCACAAACCCAGTCGGGCAGGCTCTGGAACTGGAAATAAAAGCCTTTTAAATAGCCCTGTAGCCTGGGCAGCTGCTTCCCCAGTATGACCTGAGGTGTGGGGATGGGCTGCCTACCGCCTCCCTCCTGTCCCCCTGAGGCCACACGTTTCTGGTTCAGAGCTTTATAGGCACACATACCAATTAGGGGACCAACCACAGCTGCTCACGCGCTCTGCCAGTCTGCTGGCTGTGCCTGGAATAGAACCCAGGCGCCCAGCACCGCGCCCCTCCTCGGCCTGGCTTTGAGAAACAAAACCCTGCTTCCATCTCAGCAACGGTGCACACTACCCTTCCTCCCACGCTAGAAAGTCGCCCCCAGATTCTTAAGTTGGAAGGTTTGGTTTCCATGACAACAGACTTGAGCTGGCAGAATGGGTGACCTGTCTCTGGGAGGCTCCGCGGCGCAGAGGAAGCCGCATACCCTCGCTGACCGGCCAGATAAACCCAGTGGCTCTGTCTTTGCTTTCTTGGGTCCTTCAGGGTAATCCACCCCCTTTAAGTCCCCCCTCCACTCCCAGCTGCAGCAACCTCACAATCCCACAGTGCTTCGAAGAGGCAGGCGGAGGGGGCGGGGAGATGGGAGGGCAGGCGAGTGAGTGGAAAAGCACTGAGAGGAAGGAGGGGCGCTGAGTCTGCCGGCGATCTCAGTCCTGCACACTGTTTCAGTCCCCTTGACCCCCGCAAGAAAAGGATGAGCCCTCAAATTTCTTATCGCTGCGGAGAAGTCAGGGGGAAGGCGAAGTCCAGATGGGGAAACTGAGGCTTGAGTTTCAGACTTGGCTTTCGAAGAATCGCCTCCCGCATTCCCTCCCACTCCTGCAGCGTTCCCAAAACCCCTAGGCAGCGGGGGTGGAGATGCGGGGGCAAAGGAGAGTCTACCCTCCTCCCGCGAAGCCCTTCGGGGCGGTTCGAGGAGGTAATTTTCGTTGGGAAGGGGCTGGAATTAAGGAAACGTCCTTTGCCCCTCCCCCTCAACGCTGTTTGCCCGGCGCCAACCCGCCCCCGCTCCCGCCCGCGCCGGGGTCTCCTCTTCTGCCTGGAGACAGCCGCAAGCGTAGACTGCATACTCAGTTGCACTCTGACACGCCTCAGATCCCCACCCCCACCGCGGACCCGCAAGCCGATCACACAACGGCACACGGTTCACAGACCCACAAGCACAGTTACAGTCAATCGCACACTGTCTCACAGGCACAAGGGCATTGCAGGCATACGCAGCCATATTGCAGTCATACACACACACACACACACACACACACACACGAGTCACACACACACGCAATTCGGAAACAGATTTAGACGCGCAATGACACAAAGTCGCCTCCCGATTCCGCCCTTCTTCCAGCACCCACCTCTCAGCTCATCACTTCATGCACATATGCCAGGAGTTTGCATCGCTTACACAGAAACGTTCAGCCTTTCAGAAGAAACATTTTTATTATTTTTTTGTCGAAGAAAAAAAGCCATATAAATATTAGAGTATAAAACTTGCGTGAGACACAGGAAGAGGGTGGGGTGGGAGCTACGTGACTATGCGAAGAGAAGCGCTTATAAGAGGAGTGAGTACGGGGGAGGGGGTCGCCGCAGCGCGTGGACACAGCACAAAACACAACACGGGCCGCCGCGGGCAGATCAAGGACAGGCGGCTGCGCGGAGCCCGCCGCCTGCTGCCTACCCGCCATCACGTAAAAGCACACCGCACTACACTACTGGCTATTCTACACCAGCCGAAAGAGGGAGAGGGGGCTCTACACTACTGTAAGGGCAGGTCTGGGGCTCTCTAGCTGCCCCGCTGGATGGCCGGGGCCCCGGGGGCAGAAGGGGGTGGGAGAGGAAGGTCTATGCACAAGGAGGCACTGGGGAACTTTAACCAGGCTATGGCCACTAGGGGGCGCACTGGGGGCCTGGGCAGTGGCCTTCACGGAGAAGAAATGGCACCTGGTAAGGTGAAGGTCAGAGGCTTGAGGACGGCAGGGGCCCTGTAGAGAAACCCCATCCTGGACTGAGACTTTCTGTTCATTTGGTCCCTGCCCTAGCTCCCTGCCTCCTAACCCAGGGACTAAGAACGGCCTGGCCGGCCCACCCTTCCTGCTGGGGCTCCACTACCCTTCCACCAGTGGCACCTCTGGAGTACCCAGCACCCACAGAGGTCCCTCTGACCTCTCCAGGGGATCTGGTCCTAAACCTGCTTTGAGCTTTCTTAAACTGAAATGCCAGTTTAATCCATTGGTCCTGGTAGCTCAGCCCAAAGCTGGCTGCCTGGGCTGAGCCCTATATGTAGTGGGGAGGGTCCAGCCTAGTTCTTGGTTTATGGCTGGAATTTGGAGGATCTTGTCAGTCCCCTGGGGACATACAGAGCCTCCTGCAAGGCCCTTATGCCTTGATGTGTCAAGCTTTGTCCATGCCCCCACCATCCACATCCACATACTTCCCTGCTTTATCTTACCACTCCATACTGTCTTGGAACATGCAGCAGAGTCTCTTGTTCGAGGAGGAGTGCGGGAAGTCACAGCATGCAGTGGGAATGTCAAACAATGAAAACCAAAACAAAACAGAAGGCTGGTCCCCAGGGCGTCGGGAAGAGGCTTGGTAGCAAAATGCCCTCCCTAAATCCAGCAAGCATCAGTACCATGGGGATGGTGACCATGTCCTCCAAAACATGAGCATTGATCTCAGGCTCTGGAAGGAGGTGAGGGGGCTGGCACCAAACCATGCTTTGGGGGAAGACTGACAATCAAAAGAGAGGCCAAGAGGTCATAATGCCTTTCCAACTCTCCAGCACGAAGAGCCTTGTAGGTTACCTGGTACCTCAACACCCCAACCACCTTACTCAAGAGAGAGGAACTGTTGGAGTGGGGTAGGGTGGGGAGGAGAGAGGCAGGGGATGGATGGGCCTGATTGATTTGGAAGATGGAGGAGTTCAGCTGTATCCAAAGGGGATGTGGCAAATGGTTCTTGCTGTCTACACTAACCCCACTACCCCCATGGGTACAGCAATTGATTGGATGGGGGTTCCCAGCAGAACTCCCTTTGCATATTCAACCCCCTGGGGGCAAAAGGGGGTGGGTGTTGACTGGGCACTTGTTTCTGTTTCCCAAGGGGAGCATGGCCTTGGCCCCTACCAGTATTCTGGGGGTGAGCCCTGAAACTCTGAGGCCTGGGTACAGGTAAGGAGAAGCTGGGCTGGTTGGGGGGAGGCTGCCCTGTGGCTCTTGGCCTGGCCTCCATGTTACTTCTTCTCCTTCTTGCCCGACTTCTTCTTGTTGCCATTGCCACCTGCTGGGGCCTTGCCATCCCGCTTGCCAGCTGCGTTGGTCAGTGTGGCATTGCTGCCTGGGATGTAGACGTTCTGGCGGTAGTCGGGCACATGCTGCAGGGTGAACTGGGGTCCGTATCGGGCGCTCAAGCCCATGGTGCCAGCACCCCCTCCCAGGGTGGAGCTCCCATCAGCAGCTTCTGCAGAGACAGAGGAAGATCAGGTGGGAGCTAAATCAGGGTTCTCAACAGTCACTCTCTTATACTCCCAGCAGTTAATGAATGCCTACACGGCACCCTGGGTCCTGACCATACTGAGCACTGGGAATACAGGGGTCACCAAGGTAGACTCTCTCCACAAGAGCTGAGGGTAGTGGTTAAGAGGCTCTGGAATGAAAAAGTCTAGGTTTGATTCCTAGCTCCTTTCCTTACTCACTGTGATCCTAGGCAAGTCTACCTAACCTCCCTGGGCCACCTCAGTTTTCTCATCTGCAAAATGGGGATGATAATGGTAACCACCTCTTCTGGTTTTAGGGAAGGCTAAATAAGAAAATGTATGTAAAGTACCTAGAATTGTGCTGGTGGATGAAAGTGCTCAAAACACATTCGCTAGTGTTTCTCTCAGGGCTGTGACACAGGCTGTCAGTTCCTTGCCCTGGTCCTTCTCAGGGGAGCCTCTGATTTCCCACACTAGACCACGGGCTCCTGGAGGGCAGCAGCCATGGTTTGTACATGTCCCTAGCCTTTGTCAAGCAAGGCCTGGCAGGGAGTAGAGATTCAGTAGTTCTGTTAGTAATTGTGCAGGGTGGGGTGAGGGGCCTTCTTCCAAGCCTCTATTTCAAAACAGCATTTTTTTTTTTTTTTGATATGAGGAGTCCCGCTCTGTCGCCCAGGCTGGAGTGCAATGGCACAATCTTGGCTCACTGCAACCTCCACCTCCCGGGTTCAAGTGATTCTCCTGCCTCAGCCTCCTGAGTAGCTGGGATTACAGGCACGCACCACAGTGCCTGGCTAATTTTTGTATTTCAAAACAGCATTTGACCGCCTACCCTGTGCCAGGCACTCTGCCAGATGCTTCACAGGCAGGATCACTTTTAACCTCTGCACCACAGCCCAGCCAGGTATGTGGTATGACCCCCATTTTACAGATGAGGGAACCAAGGCTTAGAAGGACCAAGGCCATACCAGGCAGCACTTATTAGAGGGGGATTCGGGCCCAAGTGTACCTAAACGCATGCTGGAAGGGACAGTCAGTTGCCACCTCTAGGAGCAGCTTGGACCTTATCCCTGCTCTGAGTGAATAGGCGGTAGACAGAAGATGGAGAAGAGTTCTGTTCTATGAAGCTGAGGAGATGATGCTCTCGGGGACTAGACATCTCAGGGACACTTTAGGCACAGGCTTAGAGTGTCACAGCTAGGTGACATCAGAGAGCACCTCTGGCCCAATGTCCCACTGTATAGAAGAAGAAACTGGGGGCCAGAGAAGTCCACACTCTGGCCCTGGCTCAGCATCACCCAGGAACTTGTTTAGAACACAGCCTCTTGGAGTTGCCAGCTGATTTGTATGCACTGTAAAGGCTGAGAAGCACTTTACTGCCTGATAAGGCCGCTGTGAGGACTAAGAGACGTGCTTCGTCCTGTGCAATACACCATCATCATCCAGCTGTCATCACCTCTACCCTTCACCTGCCCTGACTGGGTGGGGGTGGGAGAGGAGGAAACAGGAGTTTGCCTCCTTGGGGCTTGCTGCTGGAGGCCCTGAGATCCTCTGTGGCTAGGATATAGTTAAAACCTCAGGGATGCCCAGGCCAGCCCAGACCTAGCTGGCAAGAGAGCTTCCCTCCCCGCCTCCCTCTGCCCCCACCCTAGACCCTGGGAGTGGGTACAGAGAGTGACTAAAGCCGGAGAGGCTGAGTAATCCTGGGACATCAACCAGGGATTGAGAAATAGAGAGACAGGAAATATTTTCAAGCCAGCATAAGAGGGGGAGGGTACATGGGAGGGGAGAGCCGGGATGCGCTTCGGTTTTCCTCTTCCACGCAGGAGCGCTCGGGTTTCTCCAGCCTCCATTTCGTGTCGCAAATCCCCGGAGCTGAGAGCCTTCTGGGGGCGGGGGAGAGGGGTTGGGTGGGAGGGAGCAGCTGCCCACTTCCTCCTCTCCTACCCCAGCTGGCCCCCACCCCCAGCCCTTTCATTCCGCTGACATTTCTCTGTTTTCCCTAATTAACTCCAAAAGGGAGCCAGGTCCACCACCACCCCGCCCCCTCCCCTCCGGCCGTCAGCCTCTTCCAGCCTCTTCCAGCCCCTCCCAGCCGGGGAATGGAAGGGGTAGGGGAGGCGTCCAGATCTGTCTTCAAAGAGGCAGGATTCCAGAGTGATTTAGGGTCTAGATGGGAGACCTCAGAGGCGCCAGAGAAAGAGGAGGGGTGGGGGGTGGGGTAGTCTCCAAGCACACAGAAAAGAATGAGGAGTAACTCGGAGACGCAGGGAGAAGGGAGGTAGAAACAGAATGACAGGAAGGGCCTGACTTGAGTAGCCAGAAGCTCGGCCCACCCACGTCCTATGTGCACCCAAGATCTCTGAGAAGCACCCCAAGTGGATGAAAATGACAAAGCCATCCCCCACCCAACTCATGGTGGGTGCCCTGAAGTCAGGCTGGCCCAGGAGGGAGAGAAGATAATCAAGATAATGGAAATCAAGAATGTAATAGAAAGAGAATATCTGCCCTGCTCTGCCACTAAGGACCTGTGTGACCTTGGCCAAGGCCCTGCACTGCGCAAGCCTGCTTCCCCATTTATGAATCTGAAGGGAAGAAGTTGGATTGCAGTTGTCCAGTTCTCCAGTGCCCCTCCCTCTACACCCCACTCCCTGAAAGGCCCACCTTGGTCAAGGGCTGGGATTTTCTCTTGGTCCAAGGAGAGGCAGACTTAGGAGAGCCTCAGGAAGCTGTACATCTTCTGGCCTGGATGAGCTGGGGGTGATACCTCTTCTCCTGTGCCAGCCTCTACTCAGGGAAACTCAGCTCCCAGCTCCCTGACCTTCCTGTGTCCTCTTAACCCACCCCAGCCCAGGGCTGAGGAAGCAACTCCAGAGTAGCCCAAGGAGGCCTGATTAGCTGGAACACAGCTGGCTGAGCTGCAAACCGCAGCCTCCTTAACAGCACCTCTCACCCCCAGATGTTTATTTTAAAAGCCTCTTCCCAAGTGTTGGTTCTTACTCTCACTCTTACTTAACCCCCCCGTCAGCAGCCCCACAGGCTTGGCTGGGTTGGACTTCAGGAACCTCTCTAGTTTCAGGGCTAGGAAGCAGTGTGAAAGTGAGAGCAGTGCCTGACCCTCCACCTCCACCTCCCCCAGGGTCCGTTCCCCAGAGCCCAGGCTTACACGAGGGTCAGGCCCTGTGTGGGCCAAAGGAGTGAGGCCTTGACAGGGGAATGAGCTGCATGACCCGCTGGGAGGGTTTGGGGCCATAAATACTGATTTCACTTCTGTTTTTAACATCTGGATTTAGGCTAGAAAGCTGCTTCCTGGCCTCAGGGCGCAAGGCCACAACAGCTAAATATACCTGTTTATTTCCCTCAAGAGCCCAACTTGGCATCTCCTGAGACCCAGCTGCCTGCCATTTCCTACTCAGTCTCTGGCCTCTCTGGAGTCATAGCCCCACCAGACCTGGGACAGCTCTGCCTCAGAGGCTGGCAGTCCCTGCCACCTCTCTGCATCCCTCCATCAGCCACAGCCCTGGCCCCACTTAACCTCACAGACATCTGGGGTAGGGTTGCCAGACTTAGTAAACAAAAGTACAGGGCTCCCAGTTAAATTTGAATTTCAGGTAAACAATGAGCATTTTTTTTAGAACATTATGTTTCATGCAACATTTGAGACTGACTTACGCTAAAACAGTACTTGCTGTTTATCTGAAATTCAAATTTAACTGGGCATCCTGTATTTTATCTGGCAACCCTGATCTGGAAGAATAAAGCAGAGCTTGAGGAAGAGATTAGCCTCTAGTCCTGCTCAGCTAATAGGAAAGTTCAGGCTGGATCTAAAGGCAGTCGTAGTCCCTATAGCAGAAAGGGCATAAACTTGGAAGTGAGCCAGGTTAGAACCTCAGCTTGGCAGCTCAAAACTGGGGACCCTGAGGCAAGTGCCTTCTCTGTTCTCTCATCTGTCAAATGTGAGAAATCAGACCTGCCTTGAAGAGCTATTGAGAGGAGGCCCATGAAGTTTGTTTAGCATGTGCCCAGGTGTGATGACAGTGCTTCTTGTGATTTCACCTGGTTCTCTACCCACCAGTCTTCCGGTCGTGCTGGAGGGCAGGGCTCTCAGTTCACGATACAGGGCAATGCCTTAATCCTCTGCCAGCCTCCCTATAAGCCCAGGATTTCCTGCTCCAGAAGCTAGCCTTTATTAATAGGCATTATTCTAATTCTGCTTTTTACCCAGTAAAAAATGGGCTTGGGTCAGCAGAGATAATAATATATTGTGCCCTTACTTTCTGCCAGTCCTGTGCTGAGGGCCTTGCATTTGGCCCTGGTAACAGCACAATGAGATCTGTTAATACTGTGCCCATTAATAGTAAGTGAAACTGAGGGGTTTAATAACTTCCCTAACGACTCATTGCTAAGTGGTGGCGCCAGGATTTGAATCCAGATTGGCCTGCCTCTAAAGCCTGTGCTCTGGAGGAGGAATGATATTCTTCTTTCCCTGCTCTGGGCCCTAGTGACTTTTCAGGGACAACCACCATTGGCTGAATCTCTGTTACAAAGGAAACTCTTAGTCAACCTTAGGGGAAAACCAGAATCCTACCCTGGAGTTAGGGGCAGCAAAAGATGAGCCTCGCATAAAGAGGAAGTTTACACACCTACTTTCATTGCTTGAGGGTTTGTAAGCACCACGCCCAGAACTCTATGGTATGGCCTTTGTGGTAACATCTCATTTAAACTCTACAACAACCTTTTGGGGTCCCTGTCTGCATTTTCTAAGCTGAGGAAACTGAAGTTTAGAGAGATTGAGCAAACTGATCCAAGTCCCAAGGATAGCAGTAGTAAGTGGCAGAGCTAGGACCCAAGTTACGCTGTCCCATTCCAGAGCCAGACTAGTAACCACTGTTCCCTCCATGAGTCTTTCCTTGTTCGCTCCCTTCTGGGTATCCCAGGACTCCCAGTCCCTCTGCTGTTCCTTAGCCACAATTCCGGGCTTTACGTTTGGAATCGTGAGTCCTCTCAGAGCTGCCGACAGATCTGGAGAAACTACACAGGTTTGATATCCAGTCTGCTGGCATGGTGGCTATGGGATGTACCCCAGAACCCCAGGTCTCCCACTCTCCCATGCACGCTGGCACCACTTACCACTGGCAGACGCCAGGATCATGGCTTGCAGCATCTCTGTGTCAAACTGGTTGTTGGGCCAGGTGCCGGTGTCGTCGCCATTTTGGGAGCTGGGGAGAGAGTAGGATGGTGAGCACAGACTCCCAGGCTGGTACAGCTCATGCCCGCCTGTCCTCTCCCAGGGCTCCCAAACCTAGTACCCTATCCCTACCCCATGCTTCTCTCAGCAAGGCAGGAGGCACTTCTACAATCCTTCAGAAGCCAGAATCCCACAAGTCAGTCCCCCAAACCAGCTCTTTACTGTCTCTGATGCATTTTTTTCTTTTTTTGAGGTCTCGCTCTGTCATCCAAGCTAGAGTTCAGTGGCACAGACTTGGCTCACTGCAACTTCTGCCTCCTGGGTTCAAGCGATTCTCATGCCTCAGCCTCCTGAGTAGCTGGGATGACAGACAGTTTCCACCATGCCCAGCTAATTTTTGTATTTTTAGTAGAGATGCGGTTTCACCATGTTGGCCAGGCCGGTCCAATGCACTTAACATGGTGCATTTCCCCACCCACCATGAGACAGCCTGGCTTTCTGTCACAGGGAGATCAGATCCTCTCCAGAGGACTGTGAAGGTGGGAAATGGAAGAAAATGTTCCAGAGTTAGAGAAAAAGTAGGGACCTAGGAACTACCTAGGGGGAGATTTAGGAGGCCCCAAGAGACCCTGGAGCAGGGAGAAAAAAATTCTTTTCTTTTTTTGAGACAGAGTCTCGCTCTTCTTGCCCAGGATGGAGTGCAATGGCACAATCTCGGCTCACTGCAACCTCTGCCTCCCAGGTTCAAGCGATTCTCCTGCCTCATCCTCTCGAGTAGCTGGGACTATAGGCACGTACTGCCACACCCAGCTAATTTTTGTATTTTTAGTAGAGACGAGGTTTCACCATGTTGGCCAGGATGGTCTTGATCTCCTGACCTTGTGATCCACCCACCTCGGCCTCCCAAAGTGCTGGGATTACAGACATTAGCCACCATGCCTGGCAGGGAGAAGAAATTTCTAAAATTCAGTGGTTTCCTAAGCCCACAGAGTAAAATCCACAGGTATATAAGAACCTGCCCCTCCTATTTTATAAGAACTTCCCAGCCCCACTCTCAAACACTCTATCAGCAAACCTTCTCCAAGGTGCACTTTCCTATCCCACAAGTTCCCTCTTGCTGCAGATCCTGGGCAGATGGTGTTCCCTAAAATGCCAGCCTCCCAACCTTTGCCATGATGACACAAATAAAATTTAACAGAGGGGATCTCTAAATCTACCCAGACTGGGCAGGTGCCTCCCCTGTCCTCCCACCCCAGTGGCTGCCCTACGTGGCACTAGTCACACTGCAACTGCTGTCTGCTCCTCCACCACACTGACCTCTGTGAGGTGGGGACTCCACCTGCTTCCTACCGAAGCACCTAACACCAAGCCTAGCGCTTGGACCTAATTGAAACTTTTAGAAACTCTGAGTGTTAAAAAAACATGAAATGATTCATAATTTTTTTTTGAGAGAGTCTCACTCTGTCGCCCAAGCTGAAGTGTAGTGGCATGATCTCGGCTCACTATAACCTCCTGGGTTCAAGTGATTCTTCTGCCTCAGTCTCCTGAGTAGTTGGGACTGCAAGTACACACCACTATGCCTGGCTAATTTTTGTATTTTTAGTAGAGACAGGGTTTCACCATATTAGCCAGGCTGGTTTCGATCTGCTGACCTCGTGATCCACCCGCCTTGGCCTCCCAAAGTGCTAGGATTACAGGCATGAGCCACCACGCCCGGCCTGATTCATAATTTAAAAAAATACTAAACTATAAGAAGAAACCTCTACTTCTCAGAAGGTTCAACCCTACTTGGGTATTTCCCATAGTGATAATTTCCATGTTTTTTGAATTTCCAAGGATTACGTTATTTCAATTTGCAGGAGAGTGTTGGTGGGAAACAGCCCTGGTACATACTCACAGTCTGCCCTTTAGGTAACTGTTTGGCACCATCTAGCTCAGAGAATTTTTTCAATAAATATTTTTTGCCTGCGTGAATGGGAAGAGGCTAGCAGAGACAGTTATGTGACTGTAAGGTAAGAAGAAGGGTTTGGCACCAGGGGAAGGGCCGTACATAGGATAGGCCTTGAAGGCATGAAAATGTGTGTGTGTGTGTGTGTGTGTGTGTGTGTGTGTGTGTGTGTGTGTATTTTGTCATGGTGGGTGAGCACTACCAAGAACTGCTTTACAATTTTTCAAAGGTCTGTCCCTGCTTTCGGTTTTGCCCAGTCTGGGATTCCCCATCCCTAAGTAGGTGAATTCAGCCTAAGAACAGACACAAGGCTGCCGTGCGTGACCTCTATACCATCACAACGAACATAAAGCTAGGGTTGAAGGGGAAAGCAGGAATCTCAATTCTCCTTCCCCAAAGTAGGAAGAGTTGTAATTCTGTTTCCATTGATTCAGCAATTATTTCTTGAGCAATTACTATGTACCAGACACAGAGCCAGGTACTGGGGTAATGCCTGTGAATATGACAGAAATAGTCCATCTTTATGGTGCTCATGGTGGCACTGAGAGGCTGATATTAAATAATTACACAATACGGTAATTGCAATTGTGATACTTGCCATGGGCTGTGTCAGGGGCTACCAGAGGGTATAAAGAGAGGTGGGGGCCAGGCATGGTGGCTCACGCCTGTAATCCCAGCACTTTGGGAGGCTGAGGCGGCGGATCACCAGGTCAGGAGATCAAGACCATCCTGGCCAACGTGGTCTCTACTAAAATAAAAAAAAAATTAGCTGGGCATGGAGTCATGCACCTGTAGTCCCAGCTACTCGGGAGGCTGAGGCAGGGGAATCCCTTGAACCTGGGAGGCGGAGGTTGCAGTGAGCCAAGATCGCACCACTGCACTCCAGCCTGGCGGCAGAGTGAGACTCCGTCTCAAAAAAAAAAAAAAGAGAGAGAGAGAGAGGCAGGGTAAGCAGGTTGGCCAGTCTAGGCTTCCCTCAGGGAAAAGACAGTGCATTTAAATATGAAGAAATTATCCAGGTAGTTTTCAGAAGAATACCAGCAAATATATGTAGAAGAAACGATAGAAAATCACTGCTTTGATATTGCTGTTGTAGAAACAGATACAGGCAGGGATCATCAGTGAATCGTAAAATTGCATGAAGGGCTGCTGCCTATCTCAAAGTACCATCCACAGATTACTTCATCACAAATATTTTAAAATATCTTTATAAAAATAGATTTTTATAATGGAGAGATCTGGGACACTGTTTTTACCGCGTGGACAAACTCAGCACCTCTCGTAGTGTGACAGGCGACGTTAGATGAGTCCCAGTGTAATGCCGCGGGAAGGATTCCTACCAAGGCGTGTAACCTGAATCTAACCATCGGAGAATAGCCAGCACATCCAGATTATGGGACATTTTAAAGGACAACTGGCCTGGACTCTTTAGAAATATCCATCTCATTAAAAAATTATAAAGACTAAAAGCCTGCTCCAGATTAAAGGCGAGGAAAGAGGGGTGACAACCAAATGCAATTTATGCTCCTTGATGAAATCCTGTATTTAAAAAAAAAAAAAAAAAAAAGGCCAGGCACAGTGGCTCAAGCCTGTAATCCCAGCACTTTTGGAGGCCAAGTGGGCAGGTCACAAGGTCAGGAGTTCTAGGCCAACATGGTGAAACCCCATCTCTACTAAAAATACAAAAAAATTAGCCAGGCGTGTTGGCATGTGCCTGTAATCCCAGTTACTTAGGAGGCTGAAGCAAGAGAATCGCTTGAACCCAGGAAGTGGAGGTTGCAGTGAGCCGAGATTACACCACTGCACTCCAGCCTGGGCGACAGAGCAAGACTCTGTTTCAAAAAAACAAAAACAAAAACAAACAAACAAAAAAATAAAACAGGATGAAAGAATACACTGAGGGCATTTATGAAAATCTGCTGGTGGATTTTATATTATTGTTTCAATGTTAAATTCCTCAAATGTGATCATTACTTTGTGACTATATAGGAGAATGTTGGCCAGGTGCTGTAGCTCATGCCTGTAATCCCAACACTGGGAGGCTAAGGTGGAATGATTGCTTGAATCCAGGAGTTCAAGACCAGCCTGGGCAAAATAGTGAGACCCCGTCTCTACAAAAAAATTAAAAATTACCCAGGCGTGGTGTTGCACCCCGTAGTCCTAGCTACTCAGGAGACTGAGGTGAGATTACTTAAGCCCAGGAGGTCAAAGCCGCAGTGAGCTGAGATCACACCACCACACTCCAGCCTGGGTGACAGTGAGACCTCCTCCCATACATACATATATGTTATTGTTCATAGGAAACATATACTAAAGTGTTTTAAATGTTACAGTGTTTGCAACTCACTCTTAAATGGTTCAGGAAAAGGACTCTGTGTGTGTGTGTGTGTGTGTGTGTGTGTGTGTGTGTGTGTGTGCGCGCGCGCGCACAGAGGGAGAAAGAGATAAAATGTGTGAAATATTAACAATTGATGAATCTAGGTAAAAAGAGTAAAGGGTACATATTTGGATGTTTATCATTCTATTTTTCAACTTTTCGATGGGTTTGAAACATTTCAAAGTAAAAAGTTAAGGGGTAAAATTTAGTTACCCAGGAGAAGTGCAGTGTTGTGGGAGAGGGCTTTCCAGGAAGGAGTAACAGTCCCAGGCCTCTGAGGCTGGAAGGAGCTTGGTGAGTTCAAAGGACTAAGAGAAAGTCAGGTGGCTGCCACAAAGGGAGGTGGTGATTTTGGTGTCATCTCAAGAGCTCTGAGAAGCCACTGAGGTATTTGAAAAGGGGGTTGTCATGACTGGATTTAAGTATTTAAATATCACTCATGCTTCCGTGAAAGGATGAAGGGTGGGAGTTTCTGTGGGAGAATGGCAGCCTCTGTCTCCATGAATATCCAGGGTCCTTACTTCCGGCCTGACTGAGCTCTCTCTGGGCCTGGCTGAGGATGCAGGGCCAAGGCCAGGTGGTCCCAGCCCCAGGGGAAGAGGCCTAGTGGGAATGGAGTGGGGAGAGTAGGCAAGCAGGAAAGGGTTTCCGGGAGGAGAGTGCGGGTGTTGTCGGGTAGACCATGGAACCAGATGCCGCAGGTTAG